TCCCTCATCATACATAGCCTCTTGTAGAGATTTCACTCAGTACGTTAAACACTCACAAGTTTGTCTCACGAGATCACAAATCACCTTTTTTATTTAAAAGATAAATATCTAAATAAAATAATATAATAATATAATAGCTGACAAGAAAATGCCTCGCGTGACGAGACTGGCATCTTATTTTCTGAGTTCAGTGACCAGAATCGCATCATTCGTTGCCAAAAAATGTTTCGAAAATTTTGTCACTGTGCGCGTAGCGCAGAAAGCTCAATGACACTAATTTTGGGCGCTGAGGCTCATTTTGGTAGAAGCTGAGAATTTTGCTGAAATTTCGATAACCTGATTTCGGCGTCCAATCCCTCTCCCCAGAATGAGCTTCTAGCATCGTCGTATTAAAATAAACCACCAAGTGAAACTAAACGTGTACACCCCTTTCAATTCAGTACCCAGTAGATGCTGACGCCCTTCAAGGCTGAGAGTTACTGGGGTAAAGCTTAGCAAAACCGAGAACACTTGAACCGTTTTTCTTGTCTCAAACAATGTGTCGAGAACTTTCTCTAGGTGAGAGACATGAAAAAACATCGACCCGATCGAGATGTCGAGTGAGATGAAGGATATTCAAGCAGCATTTATCTTTTCTTTACAACGTGACTGGAAGAATCGTTGTAAACAAATGAAGATGCAAATGCGAAACAACGTCAACAGAAGCAACGTTAACTAAAGAATCACTGTTTAGCAATGGGAGGGGAGAGCGTCTTCATAACGACGAGAATAATGGATCGTTATGCTATTGCTGTCTTCGGTAGTTCAGGGGAAAAACAGGATAGGAAATGCAGCCGGTGACGCTCGCTCAGCTGAATATCATGGATTAGCCGTAGGCTTAGCGAGAAATCGTTTTTGATCACTTGGTAACGAATGACTACTTGTCTTCCGTCACAGGCCGTTCCTGCGGGGTGCGTCAACCAAAGATAGGTGAACCGCTGGGCGATAATGCATTGCAAAAATGTATATATGCTGGATTAGATTACCAAGAATCATCGGCTTCCGCCATCATTCACTGTGGTTCATTTGTGGACTAATACAGGAAATTGTCTATCACTGTCCGTCCACACGCAGCAGAGAGTCTCGGAACTGAAACGAAAACAAAGTGCGATTACTTGCAATCAGCAAATGCGATTAACAGAAAAATAAAGGTGTTGAAATGTTTCTTTTGCGAAACTAACAGCTCGCTAACTTAACGATGACAATCTGACAGTTTCAAAATGGAAAACAAAAACAACAAACAAATGCTTGAATCAGAATTGCAATCAAAGACAGTCAATCAGTTTATGTTTTCTACGCCAGAAATTACTGTGACACAATACAATCATGACTTACTGCGCGAATGTAACGTATCATGAAACAATATGCGGTACCCATGTATGGCTACTGTCCGCAAAGTACCTGCAGTGATGAAATTTCACCAAACTCGTCTAACAGCACTGTCCTCAAAGTGCGATATAACCCGGATGACCAACGAAGAGACTGTGTGTCAAAACCGTCAGAACTCCCACGATCGACGCCTGCAAACATGGCTTCGCCAAACGACCCGTAAATGAAAAAGGAGAATCGAAACATTTAGAATCGTTTTCGAATGGGAACCATCAAGTGGCCGCAGATGCGTTGTAGAACGAGTCAAAAGCTGGAAATATGTTTAAGGCAGTGAATACTATTTTGAAACAATTTCTAAAGGTCAGATATTAAAAATCTTTGTCATTCTGTTGCTCCAGCTTTGTCAGCCATACATGGCAGTGATACAATAACAACTGTGAAATAGATTTTCCTATTCTACAAAAGAGTTTAGAAGCTTTCGGAACCCACAACGCCATTTCCTATTATAATGCACAAATTAATAATGTATAAAGGATGTATTGCAGTAAAGGATGACAAACACAATAGAATAGAACAGGTGAAGAGACAAAGAACATTTTGGAAGGATGACATTACAGCAGACCTCGTGGAATCAGAAAGAGAAGCATTGATCAAGATAGCAGATGCTTGTTTTTACGCTGTTTGCAGGAACTGAAGCTTCCAGAGGTGTGGATTAACCATATCGGTGATTCTACTCCACAAAAGACAGACAGAGAATTTGAAGAATTACGGACTGATCAGTTTGTTATTCATCTATCCATCTACAAGACTTTCTCGACGGTACTGACGAACAGATTTCAAAAAAAACTGCACTCTGAGCAGTCAAAGAAACAAACATGATTCAGAAGTAGATTTAGTACAATCGTTCATCTCCAGGGAGTACAGCAAGTACTCAGACTAGCATCGAACACAGCTTCCTCCTTGCTTTGATTCGTCGATTTCGCAAAAGCTTTCGAATTAGACTACAGGCTTTCTGTACTAAGACATGACCATTAGACAAACAATCAAAGCACTGAAACAAAAAATAACACAATCAAATAAAAAACGCAAAAGAAAATGATAAATATAAAAAATGAAACGAGGGAAACAAGGAAAAGATCAACGAAAAAAAGGAAAAATAAATACAAGGCAGATCATTAAGGAAGAAATCTGAAATACAGGCCTTTTTCGACCCTGCCTAGTGATGCGGTTCTCATCCATGCACTGCAGATGCTCAAACGCCACAGAGCCGTGGCCTACTTAAATGGTCTCTTGGCGACTAGAAGCAAGGGGCCGGAGCCATTACGCCTGTATAAAAAAGAAAATGTTACAATCACTGCTCCTGTTGCAAATATTAAAATGCAGTGAAGAAAATGGCTGTGGGTGGGCTGCATGGTCGGAAACTAAAGTTTGATTCCGATCTGTGCAAGACGAATGTCCCCTGCTATAAAAAAAACAAGCATGTAGAGCAAAGCTAAATCGAAGCAGTATAAGACAGGACAGAAACTGTAGACGAATGCATGTTCATGCAGATGATGTCCCTTTCTTTAAGCAACTTAGATCAAGAGCAACCCGTTTTTCGAACTATGCAAATATACCCACGCAGAGACGAGCCATCATGTCCGAAGAAAATTCCAAACTCGAATTTGAATTACGAGCACAAGACGACGAGAGGCTTTATTTCTTGTTTGGATTTTTTCATTATATCGCAGTGATCATCGAGACAGTGAGACGGTGCATGAAGAAAAACAAACGTCAAATCAGAAACAACTAAAAACAAGAAAACATCCGCTACAATCAGATCATAAATGTATAAATTATGCATTCAGATTCCTATATAGGGCATTGTCGGAAATATTAAAGGAATGATACTTTGACACACCAAAAAACGGGCCCTAGACAGTCTCTCGTCACACTAAGAGGGCCGTTTAAAAGCCGGTAAAATCTAACTGAAGCAGATTTGCCCACGACATGAAGCATGCACTTTGACAAAGCTTAAACCATTCAGAGTAATCACCTCCTGCGTAATAGACTTTATGATTCTAGAAAAACCGAAGCCACTAAGTCTATCATACTGCAAATGATCATGAGAAACAACGTTCGGCACGCAGACACGTACGGCATAGCCTGAACCATACCGACATCACGCAAATCATTTTCAGACAAGGTATCGAAGTATCGAAATTCAAGGATATGGACAATATCAGATCTAATTTTAAAAGAACGACATTCAGATGTAATCACAGAGCCACTTATCGTTTACTCATAAATAGTCTGTAAACCACAAACCGGCTAAACACATACTGACAGCTGGGCTGTGCTGAAAGAATAGATAGATGCGATAGAATAAGAAAATGGCGGTTTGTTAACCAAGATTGCTTTATCACTTAGTAGTGTTCGATGAACAACCGAAATGCCTAAAAACAACTCTTTTTAAGCGTCGACGGGCACAACATAAAAGATTCCTAATGGCATCCTAAACCTGCCAGGCTCAGGTAAGTCAACAGATATGTCACTAAGCAGCACATATCCAGATAGACTTTAAGTGATGGTTATGTACTAACTAGTTACATATTCGGAAGCGGAAACGCACATACATGGTTAAGAAGTCACAACGGCCATTGTCTTAAACGTAGTAGGTTTAGTGCTTGACGAAGATCGCCATGGCGTCATGCTTTCTAGTATAAAACAAATATCATATGGCAAAACTTAATA